GGATTGTATCCTTTTTTCAAGACTAGACATAGTGGGTCTTCAGGAATCCAAATTTAATTCCGTGAATAATAGAACTCTGCTAGCCATGGGTGGCAATAGATAAACTCTTGGCTCAAACTAGATGCTGAGGAGTCTAGAGGTGGTGTGCTCTAGGATGGAACAGTAACATCTATGACTGCATCGACTCTTACATAGGTATTTTCTCTGTATCGGTTGTTCTTGTTCACAAACTCAGCAATTGGAAATTTGTGACAACCATAGTTTATGGTCCTCGTGAGAGAGAGAAGATAGGGAAGTCCTATGGTGGGAACTTAAGAGAGTCCAATCTACCTTCCCTTTATCTTGAGTCCTCTTTGGGGATTTTAACGTGACTCTTTATCTTAGGGAAAGGAAAGGTAGAACTAGTTCCATAATGGACATCAACTCCTTCAAAACTGTAGTTGACTCTTTGTTCCTCATGGATATTCCTCTTAGTGGCAAACAATTTATCTGGTCTAACATGAGAGAAGACCCCAGCCTTGCTAGACGTGATGGATTTCCTATCAATAGAGCTTTTGAATCTTCTTTCCCCACATAAATTCAATATGCTTTCCCGGCTTCCTGCTCTGACCACTCTCCCATTATCTTAGACTCAGGCGGTCTAATCCCCAAACCACACTTCAGATTTGAAAAGGTTTGGCTCACTCACCCTTCCTTTGGAGACTTTATCAAAGCTTGTGGGACATCTTTCTAACATCATGGTAATCCAATTATAGCTTTCAAGTTCAAACTCAAGCTTCTCAAGAAGAGAATCAAGTGGTGGAGGAAACATGTGCTTGGCTCTATTCAAAACTCCAAGTGGAAAATCCTCTCCTCTCTCCAAACCCTGGAAGCTTCCCTAGACATCAAACCCCTTTCTGAGTTTGAAACCTCCTTTAGAACAAAGCTTAGATCTAAATTGTCTGAGATTGCTAAACAAGAGGAAATTGTTTGGCGTCAAAAATTCGGAACAGCCTGGCTTAAGGAGGAAGACAACAATACTTCCTTCTTCCACAAATCTACCTCTTTCTATAGAAGGAAGAACTTCAACCCCAAAATCACTCACAATGACTACAACATCTCTCCTGAGAAAAACAAATGGAAATGCTTCCTCACTTTCTTTAAAGAGCAGTTATCGGCCAAGAATCAAACTCCCATTAATATTGATTGGCCTCACCTATACCCCAACCCCGTACAAGGTCTTCTTAGCCTTGATTGTCCCTTCTCCAAAGCGAAAATCAAGGGTGCTATTTTTGGTCTCTACCCAGACAAATGTCTTGGTCCCGATGGTTTCTCAATACTCTTCTACCAATAGTTTTGGGAGATAATTGAAGAGGACATTTATGCTATCTTTGATGCTCTTCACTTAGATTCCTCACCCCTTCATAGTATCAACTACTCTCTTATCCCCAAAGTTGAAGGTGTCTGTTAGGTTAAGGACTTCAGACCTATTAGTCTCATTAATGGTCTATTCAAAATCTTTATCAAAGTGCTAGCTAACAAATTATCTCTCTTTCTATCTTCACTTGTAGATCTAACCCAATCAGCCTTTTAAAGTGGCAAATTTATCTTAGAGTCTTGTGCAATTGCATATGAGCTTCTCCACTCTTGCTCCTCCAAGCGTATAGAGAATTGTATGCTTAAAATTGACTTTAGGAAGGCATTTGATTGCATCAATTGGTCTTTTGTCCTAAGTCTGCTCTAGGCTAGGTGTTTTGGCACCAAATAGTGCCAATGGATCAGTGGCATCCTCTCCTCCTCTAAGTTAGCCATCTCGGTCAATGGTACTCCCACACAATCCTTCAACTGTTCTAGAGGACTGAGGTAAGGTGACCCTCTCTCACCTATGCTAATCATCCTAGTAGTTTATGTTCTCAACAGAATGCTCTATTCCAACGTTGAGAGAGGAGATCTCTCTGAGCTACACCTTAAAAGTGAGCTCAATAATGTCCACTCTCTTCAATTTTCCAATGATATTATCATCATGTGTAGAGCATTAACCCCTGATTTTATTGTGCCTAAATCCATTTTATACCTGTTTGAAGGCATATCGGGTCTTGGCATAAATTACTCAAAACCAACCTCTTCTACTTTGGTAAATCTCCTACCAATGGTGTCATCCTAACTAACACCCTAAATTGCACTCTTACCTCCCCTCCCTTCACCTACCTTGGGATTCCACTAAAAAAGGGAGCCCTCACTAAGCAAGACTGGCAACCTTGTTAGATAAAATATCCAAGAGACTATCCCTGTGGAAAAGTAAGCAACTCTCCATTGGAGGTAGACTTACCCTTATTAACTCTGTTTTATCTTCCATTCCCCTATACTTTTTGCCCTTCTTAAACTCCCCTCTTGGTTAATTAAAGATATGGACAACATTAGAAGAAACTTTTTATGGTGGGGGTTAGACTCCTACTCTCCTTGTAAAACCCTTGTCAAATGGAGTTTTATCTGCAAACCTAAGAAAGAAGGGGGGGTTGGGCGTTCTCGGCCTCCATGATTTCAATCTTGCCCTTATTTCTAAATGGATGTGGAAGGTACTACATAGTGAATCATTCCTGGGTAAACTTCTCGATTTTGTGTATTCAGCTAACCAAACTAATCCTAGCTGCACGCCACTATGCCGCTCAACATCTAGATTTTGGAGGGATACATTCTATTGTAGCTAGGCGAGTCTTGTTCAATGAAAATTAGGGACATGATAAGATTTTGGGAGGACAAATGTTAGGTTCAATTACTCTACAGCATCTTTGTTCCCTTGGGCCTACAATATTGCATTATCGTCCATCCTCAATGTTAGGTCCCAAAGCCGCCTCCACAACAATGAGTGGAGATGGCAGCCTTTGATCAGAAGGTCAATATCCAACAGAGATTCCGCAAATGTTCAAGCTCTTAGAGACCACCTATCTAGGCTCTCTTTTCCTCCTAACCATGATAAGGATGTTGTATGGTGGTCATACCATCCTTCTGAGGAATTCTCAGTTAAGTTTATATACACCTTCATCAATGGCATTAGTACACAGTCTAGAGACTACAACTTTATTTGGAACTCCGTTACCCCAGTCAAAGTGAAAGTGTTCTGACGGATTCTTCTGAAGGGAAAGCTTAATACTAAGATAAACCTTAGTAAAAAGGGTGGACAGATGATGTTACTTGTTCACTATGCAATGAAGGTCCTGAAAGTGATGACCACCTATTCCACAACTGCCCTTATGCGATTCAACTATGGAGTTTTTTCATATTTTTCCTACAGAGATCTCCTCTACTTTAGGATTTCAGTTCCATCTTACAGTCCAAACGGTACTTCTTGGAAAGTAAAGAAGATAGGCACCTATGGGCCATTCTTTTCCCAACTCTTTGCCAGTGCTTATGAAAGGCTAGAAACAATCTGATATTCAACAAAATCGGGACTCCTCCTGTGTTTTAGCATCTAATGTTTCTCACTTCATAATGTTGCAGACAGGTAACTCAGCATCAAAGAGAGCTACCACTATTCATAGAGTGGTGAGCGAGAAGGGGCTAGCACAGTTGCTATTACAAGATGACTCCATCCACGACATGACTCGTGTGGGAAACAACTTCTGATGATGGCTTTTTTGCAAGAACAAACTCTCCTTTGTAATTACAAGCTTTTCAATACTGTCTTATCCTATTTTGGTTGTATTGTAAATATGAGCTCTATGTAAGCTCCAACATTTATGAGCTTTGTGTAAGCTCCATACCATGTATACTCTACCATTGATCCTCTAGAACTTCTTTAGCCTAAGTTGTCTTATTCATTTTTTCCCCTTCGCAGTCATCTCCCTATTCTTAGGTGGAGATAATGCGTTTGATCGATACATGAACAGGAACTCACCCTCTCTGTGTGTATATATATATATATATATATATAGTAAAAAGGGTGGACAGATGATGTTACTTGTTCACTATGCAATGAAGGTCCTGAAAGTGATGACCACCTATTCCACAACTGCCCTTATGCGATTCAACTATGGAGTTTTTTCATATTTTTCCTACAGAGATCTCCTCTACTTTAGGATTTCAGTTCCATCTTACAGTCCAAACGGTACTTCTTGGAAAGTAAAGAAGATAGGCACCTATGGGCCATTCTTTTCCCAACTCTTTGCCAGTGCTTATGAAAGGCTAGAAACAATCTGATATTCAACAAAATCGGGACTCCTCCTGTGTTTTAGCATCTAATGTTTCTCACTTCATAATGTTGCAGACAGGTAACTCAGCATCAAAGAGAGCTACCACTATTCATAGAGTGGTGAGCGAGAAGGGGCTAGCACAGTTGCTATTACAAGATGACTCCATCCACGACATGACTCGTGTGGGAAACAACTTCTGATGATGGCTTTTTTGCAAGAACAAACTCTCCTTTGTAATTACAAGCTTTTCAATACTGTCTTATCCTATTTTGGTTGTATTGTAAATATGAGCTCTATGTAAGCTCCAACATTTATGAGCTTTGTGTAAGCTCCATACCATGTATACTCTACCATTGATCCTCTAGAACTTCTTTAGCCTAAGTTCTCTTATTCATTTTTTCCCCTTCGCAGTCAACATTGTTTCCATTCCATTTGCTCCCCTAATCTTTATTCACGATCTTAGTTCATTTGCTCCATAGAAATTGAGAATATCGAACTCTTTGCATCTGCTGCAGCACTGTATACTAAGTCCTGTCACCTCTGATTCGCACCCTGCACTTACGTGCCTCTAGCAGAAGCAATGCAAGAATCACAACATAAAATTTTTGCAAAGTTCATAAGATATAATAATGGGGAATAGCATGACTCCCACAAACAAATTCAACAATCCCGCAAGCTTAAGTAAATCTGAGACTCAATACTGAAATGCAATCTGCGTTTTGTCCTCAGAGGAAAATACTTCAATTATTTCTATCCATCTCATGGTATATCTTCCTCCCCCCACCATTTTGAGTTGAGATGAGGCTCCCTACTTGCCAAGGGAAACACAACTAACCATTGCAAATAAATATATAAGACATCCAACTAAAGTAATGATCAAGAAAGGACTTACATAAGACATGAGCGAGAGGAGAGGAAGTAAATACCAGTAGTCTTTATCATAGTGTCTCAGAAAACAGTTAAACAAATTGTTTCCTCCAAATCACATTCAACATGTTTATGCGTAAAGGTCTATGCCCCAGAATTTGGCTGGCTGATTGGTTCGATACTTGCGATCAATCCCCTTTATCTTATCCATGTCTTCATCTGATATGGTGAAATCAAACACCTGAAAGTTCTCCTTCAACCTTTCCATCTTTGATGTCTTGGGGATGATTACAGTGTTTCTCTGGATGCCCCAACGAAGAACAAGCTGAGCAACAGTTTTGGTATACTTCTGAGCTAACTCCTGCATATGAAGGGACCAACAGTAGTTATGAGAAAGATTTCATAAAACCCTCCTACACTTTGACGAGTTTTTCCATAATCCCTGAACTTTACAAATCATGAAAATCCCCTCTGAACTTGACCTGAATATCATGAATGACAATAATTGCTTTAAATGTCACGTCAAGCGCGTGACAAAATTTGGATAATTTTACCCCTATCTACTAAGTGTGGGTAAAAGTTTTTTTTTAAAGGTAAATTGATTTTTGCCTCTACCCATTATATCACGAAGAGAATTCCCAATAGTTCAAGGGGTTTGTATAATTTTGAAAGTTTAGGGAGTTCTTGCGTAGAACTTCCCAGAGTTCAAAGAAGCTGAAAATTTTACTTAAAAAGCAAATTAACTATAAATATGAATAGAAAAACATACATTAAATCAGCTTGGCAATAGAAACACAGTGTTACCTGGATGACAGGATCATCTAGGCATGAAACTGTACCAAACCATTCAGCATTGGCAGCGGCACCACCAAGAGGAGTGTGTGCAGTAACACAAATTCCTTGCTTCTGGCAGAATTTGACAAGAGAATCACGTTGGAAATAAGGATGAGTCTCGATCTGGTTTACTGAAGGCTTTATCTTCGAGTAAGCCATACAATCTCTTGTAAGGAAGATGTCATAGTTGCTGCAAAACAAGAGGAAACAATCATATATTCACGTCACTAAAACACCAGATATAGAAATAGCATTCATATACATAAAGCTACAATCATACTTGTTTTCTCTACTAGAAAAGAACTCAGGTCAATAATGAATGCAAGTTACAAATGTGTATAAGTGGTTAAATAATTTTTTTTCAGATCAACAAGAAAAGTGATGAGTGAAGCTTAGGACCACATGTGCTTTTCAAATGAATCACAGTTTAGTGGTTTGCCTTATTAAGTTATTCCTCATATGTTATAGCAATTTCATATATCACATCTTTCATTATTCCCTTTTCAGAATGATTCCTTTCATTATTTTGGAAATCTTACAGGGTTATTACTCAATGGAAGGTATTCCGTGAACCTATGTTGCCATCAACAAGAAATAATCCTTACTAGAAACAAAACGGATTTGGATTTTAAGAACATTGTTCACATTTTAATTTCTTGAGCTAAACTTTCCATATATTGGTATTGATGCATGACGATCATGGATCGTCGGTTTGCTAAAATTAGGATTTACTAAGATCTTTTTTGTTTTGGAAATATTTGACGCAATCTTTGTTTTAGGTAGGATTTGATGTTAGGATCTTTGAGATTTTATTTTGTTGGAGGTTTTATTTTGTTTCCTTAGAATTTAATGTTAGCATCTTCTGAAACTTGATTTTATCATATTTCTTTAGGAGTTATATTTTATTTTTTTTAAATAAATGTATAAGCCTCATTGAAAAGGCAAACTATGATTAATGAAAAGAAAATTTCTTGAGATGTGAAATCTTTGTCAGCATGTGAAGTACTAAAGTTATGACATGCAAACTGTCAGGGTATGAAGCCCCTGATTGTGAAGCCCTTCTTCCATCCTAGCCCTCTAATTACAATATCCTTCAATTAAATCCTCTCCTCAAAAGAATTCTCACTATCTGAAATCATCAATCAAACCACCAAAAGGAAGGGGGGATATTCATCCATGTGAACAGTAATTTTGTTATTGTTATTCGCCTTCACCTCGATATCTGACGCCACCCACCTCCTCCTACAATGCCACACTCCTTCGAATCCAACTACAAATACCGACAATGACCTCCAATGAGCTCTCAAATTTTGTTTGATTATCCTTATCGTTGGATCTACTCTGATCCAAGCTTAATAAGATATTATCACTCTCCGGCAAGACCTTACAACACGGCTCTGGATAATTATCAAAGACTTCAAAATCTACCCAATCCACCCTTTAGATCTCGATCGGATTCAAATAACTATTAAAGTTTATAATATCAAGAATCTTGTAATTTTCGATCGGATCTAGACTTAGGGGTGGCAAACGGGTTAGGTCGGGTCGGGTTGGGTCATAGTTGACCCAACCCATATAAATGTGACCCGACCCGACCTAATTATCAAAGACTTCAAAATCTACCCAATCCACCCTTTAGATCTCGATCGGATTCAAATAACTATTAAAGTTTATAATATCAAGAATCTTGTAATTTTCGATCGGATCTAGACTTAGGGGTGGCAAACGGGTTAGGTCGGGTCGGGTTGGGTCATAGTTGACCCAACCCATATAAATGTGACCCGACCCGACCCGTTAATAAATGAGTCAATGTGATCCGACCCATTTATTAAACGGGTTACCTAACTCGAGCCGTTTAATAATGACTAATACATATTCATCCAGAGCCTGATAAGATCTGAAAAGCATTGATGTACCAAAAGTTTGAGACTCGATTAATGTTCTCTGTTTTATTACTTAAATCTAAACTTTAAAATCATCAAACATAATACAAATGATAGCCTCAACATTTACAGCAACCAAGAAAACAAATAACAGATTTGCCGTCGGAGATAACAAGCACACAAGCAAGGACCAACACGAGTTTGGAAAGCTACGGCCAGATTTGCCGTCAGAGATAACAAGCACACAGGCAAGGACCAACACGAGTTTGGAAAGCTACGGCCAAAGTGGAATTCACAAGATGATATATTCAACAGCAGAAATATTGAACGATGTAAAAAATTTCTACAGAAACCTACTTTATTCTGCAAATAAAAAATAGAACCCTTGTATCCTAGTGGAAAATAGGAAATGCATTACATCGGAAAAGAAAAAGATAATAAAATTATAACTATTGTAAGTCTCACCATAATAAATTTCATTATGCAGGATCTTATACTGAAATCTACGCACATAAAATTCAACCAACCATCATACCAATTAGCATTTGATAGAGAATCATTACTTGACAACATTTTGGAAACAAGAAGTCTTCAATCAAGCAACTCCGTGATCGGGGTCTTTCTGTTGAAACCCTCAATCGCTGCAAGCTGCGCTGCAGGCTACAGCTTGCTCTCGTCGTCGCACGCCGCTCGACGCCGCTTGCCTCCGCTTGTTCACCGTCACTCTCGTCGCCTCTCTCCAATTGCCGCCGCTCGCCGCTTGAATCAGCAATTTGATCGACGAACCCAATCGTCGAAAAACCAACCAGAACCCTAGAGGTCGCACTAACACCGATGGAGGCGATGATTTTGGATCGTTGGGGATGGAGGAGCTAGATTCCAGAAAGGAGTAGTCTTTTTCGACGAGGCCGGCGATTTCAATGGGGGAAGTTGCAGTCGATGATTTTAGTTTTTATTTGGGTCAGTGTTTGTGTTATGCGGGTCAGTCGGGTCAACCCGAATTGACCCATTTAATAAATGGGTAAATTTGGGTTGATCCGTTTATGACCCGACCCATGTAATTTAACCCATGCTCATTATAAACGGGTCGGGTCAGATCGGATTGATGGGTCGGGTCATAAATTGTCACCCTTATCTAGATTAGCATCAAAGGAAAAAAGATTTGGGAGCATTCGACTTTTGGGTCAAAGTCCCTCTCCCTGATCCTCGTCAATTGGTATCAAAATAAGTTTAAGTCAGGCCTCAGCATGGATGGACTCACATATTGAGAAAATCATTTTCCACTTAGCCAAGTTCCAAGAGCTTCTTAAGAAATAGGAACCGAAATTGGATTTCAATACTGAGCAAGAAACGCTATTGACATATGAGCTTGAACCTGAAGAAAAAATAGAGCAAAAGATTGACTTAGAGCATGAGCTTGAGTGAGAAATACAAATTGACCTCGAGCAACCAAATCTGAAAATTAATTCATAGTCCGAACTATAATGTGAGCTAGAAGCAAAACCAAAAATAAAAATTGATTCAAAATTGGAGTTGATACTCGATTCGAATATGAAGGAGAGCCAATACTCATGCTCAAACTGAGAATGAAGCCAAATGTTGTTCCAAAACCAAAGTTCTAATCAAGTCCAAAGCCCAAAATCAAGTTAAGCCCAGAATTTAAGATCAATATGTTGTGTAAATTCACAGCTCCGACTAATCTAATTTTGACTCTGTCGTCAACTAAATATCGGATTTTACAACTCATATTGAAGATCCTACAACCCACGACATAATAGTTTCCACCGGTCAAATTAATCATTACGCTCTCCCTCTATAAAACTCAAGATCGTATTTTCTCTAAAAATGAGAGATTTGATGCAGGACGATCGTGGAGAGTCGGTTTGCTAAATTAGTATTTAATAAGATTTTTTTATTTTGGAAATATTTGATGTAATCTTTGTTTAAGGTAGAATTTTCGTAGGGTTTGATGCTATGATCTTTTATATTTTATTTTGTTAGAAATTTTATTTTGTTTCTTTAGAATTAGGATGCTCTGAAATTTGATTTTATCATGTTCCCTTAGGAGTTATTTTTTGTTCTCTTTAAATAAATGTGCAAGCCTCATTGAGAATGAAGACTCAATGTGATTAATGAAAAGAATGTTTCCTAAGATGTGAAGTGTTAAAGTTATAACATGTGATGTGTCGAGGTGCGAAGCCCTGCTTCTATTCTAGCCCTTTAATTACAGTATACTTCAATAAAATCCTCTCCACAAAGAATTCCAACGGTTTGAAATCATCATAAAACCCACCAAAAGGAAAAAAATAAAAATAAAAGTACTCATGGATAAACAGTAAACCTCTTGCTATTCATCACTGTGAACAATCTATTTGCCTTCTCTTTGATATCTGACAACACCCGCACCCTACAACAATACCACACTCCTTCAAATCTGACTACAAACCCAGACGATGACCCCCGATGAGCTCTTGAGGTTTATTTGATTATCCTCACCGTTGGATCTCCTCCGATAGACCCTTAATGACTTTTGACACTATCTGGCAAGACCTTACAACACAGCTCTAGAGAGTTATTGAATACTTCAAAATTTAACCGCTCCACCTTTAGATCTTGATCAGATTCAAATAACCATCAAAGTTCACAATATCGAGAATCTCGTACTTTCTGATAAGATCTGGATTGGCATTGAAGGCAACAAATTCGGAAGCCTTTGACTTTTGGCTCATAGGCCCTTCCCCAATCCTCATCAGATATCCTATGGGTTAAAACTGATTACAACAGCAGACAACTTGATGTTGGGTACGTGAAGGTCAAATTCCTTCTTTGAAGAGTTCCATTTGGTCAAATCCAAACTTGTTTGAAGAGTTTCATCTGGTGGAAAGACTAGTTAGCATAGATATTATTAGGATTTTATTCATTAGGTTTAAATTTGAAAGTAGAGTTTAGTTTGCATTGAAATTCTAGTAAGATAGGATCAGCTGGAAATTGACTTATAATACAATTTGAAGTTTATTTCTATTTGAATCATAGTAGAGATAGAATTTTAAACCCTATATAAAGGATTGTAGGTTTTCTTTATATTATGAATATTGATACAACACCAGCAAAGCCTTTATCCCAGATGTTCGGGGTCGGCTATGCGGATCCTATTCTTCCATTCCGTCCGATTTCTGATCATCTGCTCCGTTAAGTTAATCATTATCTTATCTTTCTTAATTGTTTCTAACTAAATTCTCTTAGGCGTACCTCTAGAGCTCCATTGTACATGACCAAACTATCTTAGTTGATTCTCTCTTATTTTATC